CCATGACAAAGTACAACTGAATCAATTCATGTCCATCAAACCAACCCTAGAAAGAATACTGAAATATATGCAAAATAGCGGTAAACATGACCACAATCTCCAGAACAACAGAAAGAAACCACCAGGCTGGACAAAATACCAAATAATGGAGAAAAGCAGGAAACCAACAACAGGAACACAATATTGCAAAATCAAAGCAGTATATATTAGTGATAATCCATAAATGTAAATGGACTCAACTCACCTATCAAAAGAAACAGGTTGACAGAATGCATGAACAAATAGGATTCCAGAGTATGTTTTATACAAGAAACACATCTGACTCAAAAAGAAACTCAGATTAAAAGTCACAGCATGGAAAAGAGTTTCCATTAACAAGGAACCCAGGAAAGGGCAGGGGTAGCTATTCTGTTTGCAGGCAATGTGAAGTTCAAACATAAAATGATTAACAGACATATGAAGGCCACTACAAACTTTTACATGGATAACTACAAGAGGAAGAACTAACAATTATAAATATATATGCACCAGATACAGGAGGACCCAACTATGTTAGACAAATACTAATGGGCATGAAAAGCTAAACACACAAGAACACAATTGTAACAGGAGACCTTAACAACCCACTGTCACAAAGAGATAGATCAACTTAGACAAAAAGTCAGCAAAGAAATAACATAACTAAATGATACCTGTGCATGGATAGACTTAGTGGATGTTTACATAGTATTCCACGAAACCATATCAGAACATACATTCTTCTCAGCTGTACATGGGATATTTTACAAAATAGACCATATATTATCCCATAAAATATTTTTAAGTAAATGCAAATGGAGTGAAATTTTCTCATGCATATTATGGGACCATATTGCCCTAAAATTGGAAATCAATGGCAAAAATCCTGGAAAAACCTGCATAAATACACGGAAATTAAATAACAATCCTAAACAACCAGTGGGTTACAGATGAAATTAAAAAAGAAATAAAACAACATCTATAATACAATGAAAATGCAGAAACAACATACCACAACCTATGGTATACAATGAAAGCAGTCCTAACTGGGAAATATATAGTAATAAGTAGTCACATCAAGAAAATGGAATGAACACAAATAAAAAACCTATTGCTATATCTCAAGCTTCTAGAAAAGGAAGAGCAAGTAAAACCCAAAGTTCATAGTAGAGTGGAAATTATAAAGATTAGAGCAGAACTTAATGAAATTGAAACCAAAATATTTACAAATAATTAATGAATCAAAGAGCTGTTTTTTTGAGAAAATAAAATTGATAAACCTCTAGCCAAGCTTATCAAGAAAGAAAATTCACACAATATGCACTGAAAAGAGAAAAATTACTGTAGATCCCATGGAAATTCAAAACATCATGAACACCTACCTTGAAAATCTCTACTCACATACGGTGCAAAACAGAGGAAATAGATTTGTAGAGATATGAACTACCAATGCTCAATCAAAATATGTAACAATTTTGAGTAACCAAATAACAGGCTACATTAATCAAAAATGTGATTAAAAACTTACCAACAGTAAAAGGCCAGATCCTGCTGGATTCAGGGATGAATTCCATAAGAAATTCAGAGATCTGACTGCAACACTCCTTAAACTCTTCATTGAAATTGAAAGAGAATTAGTCCTCCCTAACTCATTCTTAGAACCAAGTCTCATTCTGATTCCAAAACCAGAGAGAGATCAAACTAAATAGCAGAACTATGGACTAATTTCACTAATGAACAATGATGCAAAGATTCTCAATACAATATAGGCAAATAGAATGCAGCAAATCATCAAGAAGATTATACAACATAACCAAGTAGGATTTATTCCAGGAATGCAGGGATGGTTCAATATGCACAAATCAATGAATGTGATACACCATATCAACAGAGCCAAAAATAAAAATCGCCTAATCATTGCAATGCATGCAGAAAAAGCTATTGATAACATACAACACCTGTTCATGATAAAAACCCTACAGTAACTCAGAATAGACGCTATGTACCTCAAAGTCTAAAGACCATTTATTACAAACCTACAGCCAATGTTATACTAGACAAAAACTGAAAGCCTTCACACTACAAACAGGAACAAGACAATGATGTCCACTACCACTCCTAGTCAATAGAGTTCTGGAAATATTAGCCAGAACAATCAGACAAGAGGGAGAAATAAAAGGAATAAAAATAGGGAAAGAAGTTAAATTTTCATTATTTGCCGACAACATGATACTCTACATAGAAGACCCCAAAATCTCAATTGAAAGAATACTAGAGGCAACAAATTCAGCAGCATAGCTGGATAGAAAGTCAACACTCACAAATCAATAACATCCCTGTACACCAACAAAAAACTCCATGAGACAAAAATTATGAAATATCAGCTTTCACAATAGCATCTTAAAAATGAAATACTTAGGAATCAACCTAAATAAAATTGTAAAACACCTATATGCTGAAAATTATACAACTCTGAAAATGGTGATTCAAGAGGAAATTGGAAAATGGAAGGATATTTCTTGCTCTTGGTTAGGAAGAAGCCAATATTGTGAAAATGGCCATACTTCCAAAACTGTTATACATTTCAATGCAATCCCAATCAAAATATCATTAACATACCTTCATATCTAGAGAAAATAATTCTGAAATTCATTTGTTAACAGAAGAAATCTAGAATAACAAAAGCATTTCTGGGCAACAACAGAAAGACAAGACTCATCTCAATTTCTGACTTGAAATTATACTACAAAGCCACAATAATAAAATCAGCATGGTACTGGCAAAGAAATAGACCCGAGGATCAATAGAACCGATTAGAAGATGAAAACACTACTACAAAGACACATAGCCACCTTAAATTTGTCAAAGGGGCTAAAAATGTTCACTGGAAAAAGATAGCCGCTTTAAAAAATGGTATTAGAAAAATTGACATTATATGCTAAAGACTGAAACTAGACACATACCTATCACCATACACTAAACTAAAGTCAAAGTGGTTCAAGGATCTTAATATTGAAAAAGAAATAAAAATCTACTGGAATACATGGTAGATAGAAATCTTGGAGACATAGGAGTAGGCAGAGAATTCATTAATAAAACACAGCCACATGGAAAATACTTCAAAGAATCAACAACTGGGATCTCATATTACTAAAAAGTTTTTATACATAAACAGAAATCAAATAAAGTCAAAAAACCCCTACAGAGTCAGAAAGAATCTGGATAGATGACAAAGGACTTCTATGCAGAACATATAAAGAATTGAAAAATGTCAAGCCCCCAAATTCAAAGACCATTTCCAAAAATGGGCCTCAGAGGTAAGTACACAGTTCTCAGATGAAGATATACAAATGGCAAATAAATGCATAAAGAAATGTTCACCATCATTGGTGATTTGATAAATACAAATTAAGATAGCACTGAGATTTCATCTTACTCTGGAAAGAATGACTGACATCAAGAAATAAACTGAAACAAATTTTGGTAGCATGAAGGGAAAAAGGAACACTTGTCCACTGTTGGTGGGAATGCAGACTGATAAAAGCACTGTGCAAATTAGTGTGGAAATTCCTCAAAAAACTAAGATTGGTTGTTCCATTCAATCCAGATATTCCTCTTCTGGGTATTTTCCCAGAAATTTGAAAAAAAATATTTCACAGTGATATATGTGCAATGATATGTGCAACACAGTTGTGATAGCTAAATCTTGGAAACAACAAAATGCCATCAACAATAAGTGGATGAAAAAATTGTATTTTTTCACAATGGAATACTACTCAGCTATAGAAAAGGATGATTTGAGACCTTTATAAGTAAATGAAAGTAACTTGAGAATATCCTCTCTCATTGTCTCTCTAGTGTAAAAAATAATAAAAAACTGACAAAGAATTGGGATCCAAAAATGTATAGTATATATTGTAAAAGCAAAAGCAATGTAATGGGCTCTAAATGATATAATGATATGTATAGTATGAAAGATAGATGTCCATATTACTAAATTTCTGTTAGATCACTGAAAGGAAGGGTTTGCCCATCAATGTTTCAGTATTGAGTGACTTTTTATGCTTTGTTTTTGTAACTTTAACAACTGTTTTTAAGATGGGAATATGTAATGTATCAACTAGTAATTTTAGGAGTTAATATTTTTGAATTCTATATTCTACACATTTTTGCTTTTTTGTATTTTGTTTCTTTTAATTTTATTTTCTATCTTTAAATTTAAAAAAATTTAAAAGAAATGGACATGGAGTTTTGTGTCCTTGATGCCTTGCAACAGGACCTGCTCATGCAGTGGTGGGAATCCTTGGGATCCACCTGGCTCTGGGTGGCAATAAGCTGCACTGTGGCATGATTAGTGGTATTATACTTTACATTTATTGTTGTCATGGTCTTTGTGTGCATGAGTCCACTCTATAGGTCACTTACAATAAACACATTTTCCCTGATCTTTGAGGTGGTGGAATGTGAGAAACCACTGCACACTGCTTCAACACCAAAAGGTATGAGGGCCTATTGGATCTGACCTAACCGATTAGCATGTGCACACCATGGACATAGTTATATAAGCATGAGTTAACATAGACAGCCATGGATGTGCTCAGGCTTGTGACACTATGCAAGAATGTAATGCTTGATGATGGCTGATATATACAGGCTGGATAATAAAGATGCTTGCTTACTGCTGTTGCTAATGTTGGCTCCATGTGGTTTCTTCTCTCTGGGGATCTTACCCACTAAAATACCAATTCACCTCCCTAACTCTGAGAAAATTTCATGCCACAGACACAGGGCACTTTAATGCCCCACAAAAGTAAAGTCTCTGTGCCTTGTTCCAAGCCATGCATCATATCCTAAAGCCAAAATCTCTGTTGGGGTACAGCTTTAGAAAGGACAACAAATTATATACCTGTGCCATGGTGATCACTTCCTAAGCCCTGTGATGGACATTTTCCCCACTTCCATTCCTCTTCTGTACCCCACAGGGCATGAAAGTTCTCAAATGTTCTGACGTGGACCTGGAATGCAGCTCCCCAAGCAGCAGACATGTAGTTCTTGAACAGACTGCCTGGACCATGGTCTGAGGTGAGTCAGTCCCAGGCTGAAGGCTGAGGACAATAGTTTCTGTTGGCCCCACTCTCACACAGTGGAGCTACTTACCAGCATATCTTAGCCTCCCTTGATCCCTGAACCCATGGGGACTGACTTTTCCTATGTGTCATGATGTGTTAAAACCAGGCACAGCACTACTGCATGGCAGGGGTATCCCTTCCCCATCACAAACCCTGCTGAACATTGACTCCCGCCAAGTACTCTTCAAGTCATCTGTTCTTAACATGTGGCATCATGTTGTAGCTGAGTGCCATGAGGGAGAGCACAAAACAAGGGCAGGAGCAGGTGCTATGGTGCCCATAGATTTGGGCCCTTCTCTGATGTGTGTGGACCCCAGGGGGGCACTCTTGAATGAGCTATGGAGATCCATGCCTGAGGGTGTTGGGTCAGGGAGGCATTTGGACCCTGGCTGTGTCAAGTAGCCACATTGAGCAACACAGAGTGTTTACCACTACCACATGCCCAGGACATCCTCTCACGCTGTCTTTGTCATTCCGCTACAAACCTTTGTCTACACAGGGCCCCCACTGCCCACTCCAATCTTCCCTGGACCTTTGAATGGAATCACAGGAGGAGGCAGTGTATGTGTAGCTGCCCAAAGTCAAGTGTCACTGTTGTCTGCTGTCACCCAAAAGGTATGGTGGGTGGAGGCTGGGGATTTAGCTCAGCGGCATAAGCGCCTGCCTTGCAAGTGTGTGGTCCTGAGTTCGATACCTGGTACTGATAAACAAATGGTAAAAAAAAAGGTATGGTAGTAACAAAATCAGGTGTCCCTCAATGAGTAACTCAGGGCCATTTTCTACTGTTATTCCATCTTCCATTCCCTCATTCCTCAGGCACCCCTCCCTCCTCCTGCTATATTCCATTCTCCTCCTAAAAGTACAAAGCTGGGTGGCCTAGGGGCTGTTTTGTGCCCCTCCCATCCCATTCTGTCTGAGAGAGAATCCTGTTCCCACAAGTATGGCTGATTTGTTATCACCTAGGACAAGCTGGGTCCAGCCTGTGTTGCACTTGGTCCAGGGCTTATGACTGAAGAGCCCCTAATTTTAGCTCCCAGCTCTAGAAGTTCTCCTCAGAACATGGTGCTCAGAATTGAGGTCTCAAGGTCAGTCTGGAAATCCCTATCTGTGGAGCAGACTTAATCTGTGGGTTACCATGTGATGCATGAATATCTGGATATGTGGGGAGACAAATGCAGATGCTTCTGTCTGGCACAATCCAAGTAGAAACAGTAACTTTGAAATGGCTCCTGTGGGATGGGCAGAATTGGATCTGGCTAAGGAACAAAGGCTATGTGCACCACACATAGAAGCAGGGCCCTGATCTCTGGACCACACATTGGAAGGAAGGGAAATAAGGGTGCCCCAGCACAACAGTGTCTGGGGATAAATTCTTCCCAACTGTTACCATCCATCTCTGTTGTGTCCCAAACCAAATGACTGTGTTATAAAGGCATGACAGTGTCATCACCCTGCCATTTGTATGTCTCTGGGTCCTTCAAGAGTGGAGAGTACCTGGAAAGGAGATGGCCCAAGGCTCACCTGTGCATAATATGCCTCCATATCAGTGACTGACCCTCAGGTAAGATGGTCATGGCCACTGTCATCTCTTTTTTCTGTCTGGCCATCTAGTTGCCAGGCACCACTGTGTTTCCACTTTCCTGCCTATTGGCTCCAGAAGCAAACACCGAGTTTTCTGGTCTTGGTGTCGGTGAGGATTTAGCCTAGTGTGGTAGGGTGGGGCAGGAATCTGTGTGATCAGCAATGGGGCAGCTGAGTTTTGAGTGGCCATGGAGGGGGGCAAGAACCTAATATATTTCCTCCCCCACCACATTGATGTGAGGCCTTTGTGTATAAAGCAGGGTTCATTCCAGTTAGCTGTCACTTTTTACTACATCTTTCTATCTCAAGACCATTTACTGGAAAGCTGTGTGTATGTGACACAGTATGTCACATATAAAACTATGCTGATAAAACTATGTTGAAGGCCCTGCTGAGCATCCCCAGCCAGACTGCTGGGCAGCAGCTCAGCCTTCAAAATGTAGTGAGAGAGGCAGGGGAGGGAGGTGGAGGAAGACAAGAGTCTTTCTCCAAGACAGCAGTTGCAGAGGGGCCAGGGCACCTCCAGCTGTTCCTATTACACCCACTTCTGAGCCTGTATCCTGAGGCCAGAGAGGAGACAGCAGTTTTGATCACTTTGATAGAAATCAGGGGTCTAAGCTGAGTTACAAATACAGGACTTGGGAGCCAGACTGAGTGTTCCTACAGAAGATTTGCCTGTGTTTGGTTTTCACCTTCTTTCCGTGACTTAGTCATCACCAGCCATTGGCAATGTGAGTTTCATTGCCTCCCCAAGTGTGATCTTCATCTGGAGAGCTCTGGTACCCAGCACACAGTGAGTCCTCTATGTGTCTCTACTAGGTTGTGCATAGACAAAAGTATAAAAGTGCATGTTACTATGATAGGAGGATTAGCCACAAAAATTCCATTAGCAAGGACGTAGACTGAGGACAGCTGATGCTTTGTTCTACAGATTTGCATTTGCACAAAGGAAATATTGCTGGCCAAGGAGAGCGTGTATTTCCTGTGTGAGATTTTTCATCAGTAGCTCTTTTTTTTCCCCACATGTCAGAAGTGGATTTTCTTGCTTTGTGCTTTGTTTACAGATAACTATATATTTTTCCTTACTACATATTTACAGTGTATACTGATTATGTTGGTGTTAGGACCAGGGCACATGTGGTGCACAGAGTGCATATTGGGCCCTATATTTTGCACAGTGGTACAATCCAACCACTAGTGACTGCTCTCAAAGTTTGTGCATTGAGCACACAGCTCAGGGCCAAGATATTGCCAGCATAAGGCACTGCTTTGTCTTGATTGTCCTTTCTTTATGACAAATACAGTGGATAATGATGCAATAATTGGGAGTTTAGTCCAACCCTAACCCTAAGTCTAACCTACCCCTAAACCTAACTCTAACCCAAGATAGTCACTACCAACATTCCTGGCCAAAGAAAACTTTATGGCATTGATGTGGGAAATGTAATATAAGTTAAGTATGAGGACATATAATCAGTGGTGGCTGGGATGGGGCAAGAGGGGAAAGAAAACACCATTGTGTAAAAATTTGAAGAATATATTCTGGAAGGGGACTTTGGGAAATTTGCTTAACATTGAGAATGCAATGAATGTCAGCAAGCTGATTATTTTAAATAACCCTAAAATCTTAAATTTTATCTATATTTGTTTTATCACTAACTAAATGTAAATAAATGTAGCTGTGAAAACAATAGTAATTAAATCTGGACGAGAGGGGCAGGGCAGGTGTGGGTCAAGAGCTGCCCGCAGTTAGAGCTCGAGATATGACTCCTGAGTGGAGCCACCAGGAGGCTCAGAACTTCAGCTGTTGGACAAAGGAATCCAGGTACTGGCTCTTCCTCTGAAATCACAGCTGGTTAGGGAGCTGCAAGTAGAGATGGCATAAAGTCTGCAGGTGCAGCTTCTGCATGGGCTGAGCCTGGCCCTGTAGTTGCAGGAAATGAAAAGATTGTCAACTTTCCATGGACTTCCTGGGCAAAACCTTCCCACTGCTGTCAAAGGCAGTCATGTGCACCAACACAGCCCCAGGAAAGCCTCCTGACTGCATCCCCACACCGACTGCTGAGTGTGTCATACTCCTGGGTCACCCAGCATCTGGGCACTTTGCTGAGTTCCAAGGCATCACCTCCCCACAACCCTACATCCTACACTCCAGAGATATTTACCCTGTGGCTCAGTCTCTGGGGCTCCAGCTGGTCCAGGAGAAGCTCAGCCTGGGGATCCACATGGGCGTATATTTCCAATGTGGCCTCAAGCACAGAAGAACTGGGGTAGACAGGGAACCAGCAGAGTGAGAGACCTGGGCTTTCCTCCAACAATGCCTGCACATCTCACTTGTAGAGAGGGGTTCTTGGACCTCCTGCCCAGTTGATACAATGTCCAGCCCCATCCTCACCCACCCACAATTGGGCAGTGAGGGCCCAAGGAGCCCTTAGTGGCTGAACGAAGTCTCTGTGGGAGGGAGACCTTGCTTAGTTTTATCACACATTTACATTCTTCAGGGAATCCTGACACAGTATCTCCCTGCCCCTCCCCAGTGAAAGTCAGCTTAGAGAAGGTAGAGACTGCAATCTGCCCTGTCTTTGCACTGAAGGGCTCAGGGCTGCCACTCCATGAATATCTGAGAAGTGAGGGATCAATCAGTGTCTGTCCTGCATCTTTGCAGTCTCTAGCGCAGGCAGTGATGCATTCATTGCCCAGTTCTCTTTGCCTCTGTATAACTCCTTGTGCATGGTCTGTACCCACAACTAGGGATGCCTGGAGACTGGAAAAATGGCCTTGAGGTGAGCAATATATGTTCTGCTGCCAAGGGTTACTCTGTGGCCTCCCACAAACATCGAAACTCAAAAGGGCAATGCTTCCACTGGCTCTGCTTACAGAATCATGGTTAATACCCAGAAAAGTGTTTGCACAGAGTGTGTCTTCATATACAATTGTGGGTTGGTAACACCTATCTGTTCTTCCTATTTGTCTGACAGCCATGGACAATTTGCTATTCTCAAGATTTCCTGTACTGAACAAACCCTGAAGTCCACAGAGTGAATCTCTGATCTCCTTTCCGATGAACAGAACTGCATCGACCAAGTGTTGGTCACTGAGTGGCATGGAAGATCATCCATCAGAATTATCACAGCCTCTACAGCAGGTCTTCATGGGGCCACAGCTAACTGCTTGGGATGGATCCCCCATTTCATCCTCAGTGACCCTAAGCTCTCAATCCACTGAGTCCCAACCCGTTTGGCACTATAAACTAGGGCAGAGTGAGGCCCTTGCATAGGGCCAAGACCTGAATCCACAGGTGACCAATTCCCACTGGGCTGCTAAGGTAAGAACTCAGCTTCTCAGCTTTGGTAGAGAGGTCAGCCCTGGAGGAGTCCAAAGAGGAGAGGCTGTGCCTGGGGTATCTATCCAGAAGGCTGGCTCCTTAGGCTCCTTCAGGCTGCGAGGCCCATCTGCCTGCACCGTGCTTCCTGTACAGACCTCTACCCGTTTCTCTGCTGCCTGACTTCTGAGACTGTGGGTAGACATGGAATTGGTGTCCTGCACATGGCTTCTCAGGAGGTTTTGGGGCTGAAGCAAAGCCCACACTCCAATTAGTCTGCAGAGGCTAGTGGTAATGGGCTCACAGGAGGGCCCTGAAAAAAAGGGATTCTCTTATTAAAACTTACATTTCACAAGGGAAACTTATAAATACTAGCATGCTCAGATCACCTCAACAGAGAGGTTGAACAGAAGTCTAGGTATGAACAAAACCTATGAGTCCTAAGATGGCACCTCCCCCCCAGTTTAGAGATGAGAAAAAAAGGCTCATTCTGGATGTTCAGGTCCATTAATGAGGCACCGCAGAATGTTCCCAAGATTATGATGAAAAGTCCCCAGGAAGGAATTAAGTTCATCTTCTATAGCCATGGAAGGCTGAGCCACTGTGCTCACTGCTTTCTTCTTGTGCTCATTTAGCCCAGAGGCTCCTACCAAAGGACCTGTAGTGCATGGAAAAATCCCATGAGACAAGTGCCAGAGAATTGAACAGAGTGGACTGACATTTGAGGTGAGCACACATCTAGTGAGGTGATGCTGTGTAAGAGCTGGAGACAGTTGGTGAAGACACCTTGCTAATGGTCCTTGGACACCAGGCCCAGTACAGAAAATGAGGTACAATGGCAGAATTCATTCATGACAAGAAATGAAATGATTTTGTGTCTGTCCCCTTTCTCCTCTTCCATGAATATGCGTACAGTGACCTTGCCTGGGACAAGGTAGAGGCTTAGTAGAGAGGGTGTGGTAGTTGAGCATTTGCAATCCAGATTCCTTGGGAGCAAGACCATTGGCCTAGTGTTTGACAAGCCCTTGATGGAGGTGTTGGAAGGGTTAATCAGACCCAAAGTTTCTCATAGTCATGTGTGGGCCTCCATACATTCCCTTCTGCTCACATACTCTGCACTGGAGCCAATACCTCTTGTTATTGTGGGTCCCGTCTCTGGAGCAGGGATGTGGCACACAGGGCCCAGGGGCCACCTCCATGCCAATGTCCTGTGTGCAGCATGGTTGGGGCAGTGCCCAGCATTCAACAGGAAGCCTGAGACTCTGAGACACCACAGGTTTCACTTTGTGAACCCAGATAACCTTATGTTCCTCAAAGACTAATAGCTCTGTCCGAGACTTCTACCCAGGAGGACAGGAGATGACTCTGGAGGCTTTGGATAAGCATGAGCACTGTCCTTCTCCTCCTGCCAGCCCTGTCCTGGGTAGGAACATGACAGGAGCACAGGCTCACACTTCCCAACACCTGCTCCTGCCCCAGAGCATCTGCCCTCACTGCCTGTCCTCAGAGCCCTTACACTGATTGTTTAGGATGGGAATTGTTTAGGAGAACTCACAAAGGTGGCCAGGACTTAATGTACTGTCCTCTAGTTGGGTATCTGAGTGGCTGGTGGCTGAGCCTAGGGACACCTGTCCTGGGCTCCCTCTTGTTTCTGATGTCTTGGGGGTTGGGGCTCTTGGGCCCTGCCCTGTGCTGCCCTTGATATTAGGCAGTTCCCAGTGAGCTTCCTGAAACATCTTGGCCCAGTGAACCATCCTTTCACTCATTTGCATGTGGTTTTCCCATGCAGGGTCAAGAGGCTGGGGCTTCAAAGCCTCAGAAAGCAGCACAGCATATTCACTGGTCACTCTCATGAGCCAAGTGCTGGTGAAGGTCAACTGACACCAGAAAAAGGTGCCTGGTGTCCAGAACCTTCTAAGTTCTATTTAGACGTGTTGCCAAGTAAGTTGTGTCATGTGCTGGTGTCCATAGCTGGGCTGCCCCCTCTGATGCCTCCTTTCTTTTTATTGTGGAACAAATTTGTGTTCCTTAGAAATGGCAAGTGAAAAACTAGAAAACAGAATGCGGTTTTATACTTTTCTTCACTTTGAAATACTTCATACAACAGACATGTAGATGCTTCAGAAGTGGCAGGCTGGGTGCCAAGTGCACATTTCCATCCAAAAAGTCTTTTTCATTGAGAATTAGGCTTCACTTAAAGATCTGTCAAATTTTAGGATGAGTTTCTTTCCTTGGCTTATGTTACTTTCATTTCAACTCCATTAGGGAGTATAAAGATGTTGCCAGAATAACCATAATAATTTTCTTTGAAGTATGTGAATATTTCATGTTATAACCTCCTCCTGTCCAGGGGATGAGGATTCCTAACAAGTTTTACTCTCATGGGCCTATGAGTGATTACTTATTCATCCTTAGATATTTAACTCAGCCACACACTGTAGCTCCATACTATGATATCCTGTGGAGGGGAGAGCAGGTGGTGATTGCAAGGGGAGGCTTTCCAAGGCAATGGACATCATCATCCCATGCTGAGGAAGGACACATGCACATCACTCCTGGGGAACTTGTCTCATAGCCACTGATATCACTTCCATTCCTCCCATCCCAAACACACCATGGGCTTTGTGTCCCTGCTGGGTAGTTTGTCTTTCCTAGAGGTGATGGCCCTGAGGCTGATCAGGCAAAATGCTCATGGGTTGGTCTCCTTTAAGCAGTGTATCCCTCCTGGGCTCCCAGTGTGCTGCCACCACATGCTATTGGGGGGCTGAACAAAACCAGCTATCACTTGTTCATACACCCCTCACCCATCTGCTGATGTCCATTTCTTCTGTTTCTGGGTAAACCCTTGAAAGCAAGCTGCCACAGCCATTCTTACATATGGGCTTGAGTGAATGCAGTCTTTCATTTCAAAGAAAAACTACTTAAATGTGAAATTAATGCATTACAGTATAGTTTATGGCTTAGAAATTCTTAAAGTATCTTTGGAAGCAGTGGTTTAAAGCAGAGTTAAGTGGTTGCTTTTTGTTTTGTTTTATTATGGTGTACTGTGCTATGCTATATTATGTTACATTATGTTGTATGTTGGTGAGGATTTTGAAACTGTATTTTCTGTGGTTTCTGATTTGATTTTGTATATTCAACCTGAGAAAATATAAGAATATCACATAACTCTGATTAAGTTATTTTGGAGAAAATTTTAAAAGGAAAACACATTCAGTGATGTTGGTACACATCTGTCATTTTAGTTCTCAGAGGTTGAGGCAGGGGGATTGTCGTAAGTTTGAGGTCATCCGGTGCTACAAGGGTAGATCAAGGCCAGCTTCAACTGCATAGCAGAACCCAATCTCAAAAAAAGAATGAAAGAAAAAAAGAAAGAGAGAAAAAAAAAGAGAAAAATTAAAAAGTTTAAAAATACAAAGTCAAATATCACCGGTGAATTCAGAATAAAAACATATGTGAGTTTTTCTTGCAAATGTACTTTATTCAGCACACCTAGCATAAGGTTTACCATTATGTAGACATTGAAGTGCTTCCAGGTTTGCACTGTTTTAATTTTTTTGAGTATTTTACAGAGATGACTGCAGATATGCTACTGAATATACTTTCTTAGGATTTGGGTAGCTCAGTGTGAAGAGAATGTGATCATTGCTTTTTTTCCTCTCCTAAATTTATATTTATAATCAGAAGTTGATCAAGGGATTGCTATTTTTTTGAAATAATCATAAGGACCATATAAAAGATACTCTTTTTAACTCTATATAAAATAAAATAATTGTAGAATAACAGTGGTTAATGTACCTTGCACAGTGATTTCTAGGATTTCTTAATGATCAATAATTTCATACATTTGTAAAATTTTGTTTTTAAAGATTTTAAGACATAGTCTCTCCAGTTTTCTGAGTTTCCAATGCAAGGCTTAAACCCTTCATCATCCTTCTTCATGATGTCAGAGGGCTGGGATTACAGGTGTACATTATTCTGAGTCAGCAGTTGGCAAACAATTTTGCATACTCATGGAATAAAATATTTGAATTTGATCTTTAGACTTTGTAGAAAAAATCCATCTAGTTAAGCTATCTACCACCTTCCTAATCTGCAGTTTCTTTCACAATGAGTCGGAATGAAAATCCAATTAACAATATTGGTAGAGTCACTGCTTTTTAACTGTAACTGTGGTCAGCATGCACTTCAGAAGATTACTCCAAATGCCTTCTGCAGGGGGACTGAGGCTTGATATCCCCGAAGCACTTTCTCTTTTTCTCTGATCACTCATGGAAATTGATGATTGGGGTTAAATCCCAAGAAAGTTGTGAAGTTTAAAGCTACTTGGGGTGCACTGCCCTCCAGAAGGCCAGGCCAGGATAAAGCATTGTTGCCTTCCCTTCTACTTTCCAAGGTTTTGTTTTGGGTATGGTTTAGAGTTTCCATTCAGTTTCTAGAGATTGAATACAGAGCTTTTGCATTTAGCTCCACTACATTCCACTTTTAAAAGTCTTCCTTTTGGACTTTTTTGTTTTTATTGGTAACAGGGATCGAACTCATGACTGCCTGCTTGCAAGGCAAGTGCTTATGCCGCTGAGCTAAATCCCAGCCCCAAAAGTCTTCCTTTTTTTGAGGAGTTTCTCAATGAGTTGCTAAGTTGGTGAGTCTATCCTTGAATTTATGATGTTCCTGCCTCAGCCTTCCAGAGTGATAGCATTACAAGACACACCAGCAGACGTGGTTTCATCCTGGTGTTATTAAAAACTCACTGACTGAGCAAGGAATGGGGGGAAATACCTGCAAAGTCAGGCTGCTGGGGCAGCAGGAATACTGGGAGTTCCAGACAAGCCTGCAACACACTCTGATTTCAGCTCAGGGCAGATAGACAGAGGGAGAACCTGAAAAGAAAAAGAAAAGGAAAATACAGGAATGGAATGAAGAAACAAATCCAAATTCCTGCAGACTCTATGAGTTGGTTTGCCTCTGGGCTAGTCATTTTCATCTGTGATCCTATTCTTTCAGTATAAGATGCTTTTGACTGCTGCCACTTTATATTTGGAAACCAGGTATTTTGTGCTTCTGTGTTTAATGTCTTTACATGGCTAGAGGATGACACTTTGTACTTCCTTGTGAATTTTCATATTGTTTTTTGATTTGTAGGAAAATATCAGTGGTATTTTGACAAGAATGCTTTGAAAGGGCTGGTTGATCTGGTTAGCATGTACACTATAATAACATGAATTCTTCCCATCTGCCATCATGGTATGCGTTTTATTCTGTTAGTGCTACTGTACTGCTTGCATCAAAATCTACAATTTTTAAAGAACATGTGAGTTTGGTTAAATTTTTCCTAAGCATTACTTCTTTTTGATGAATTGTGAAATGAATTGTATTCTTTGTATTTGAGGTTGCAGTTTGTTTGAATCACATAGATATGAATTGTTTAGGATATGTGAATCTTGTACCCTGCACCTTATGTGATTTTTGAATTTGTTCTAAAAGGTTTTCAGTGGAGATATAAAATGAAAGTTTTATATGAAAAGTTGTGTCCTCAGGAAACAGAAACAGTGCTTAATTCTTTCTTTCTGATTTGGAAGCCTTAATTTATTATTATTGAGTAAATTCTAGGGCTAGAACTTGGAATACTGTGTTGAAAGTTGCTGCAAGCCTTGCCTGGTTCCTGATCTGAGAAGAAAATCTTTCAGATTGTCATCCTCTGAGCACGATGTCAGGGATGGGCATCTCATGTATCATATTTGCTGTGCTGAGGTCCATTCTTCCTATACATGGTGTGTGAGTAGTTCTTACCATGACAAAATGTTGAACTTCAGAATTTCTCAAAGCTATTTTTCCAAATCTATTGAAGGGTTATCTCTGTCTCATTCTGTGAAAGTAGCAAGTGATGCTCCATGGTTTTTATAGTTGGATGGTAGTTGCATCACTGAGATGGAGCCCAGTGTTGATCATGGTGCTTAAATTTTGCATGTGCTTGCAAATTTATCTGACAAGCATTTAGCTGAATAATCTTGCTTATGTTCATTAGGGATATTGGTCAGTAGGGTGTATTCAATTGTAATCCTATCACTCTGGAAGGCTGAGGCAGGAACATCATAAATTCAAGGATAGATTCACCAACTTAGCAACTTATTGAGAAACTCCTCAAAAAAAGGAAGACTTTTGGGGCTGGGATTTAGCTCAGCGGCATAAGCACTTGCCTTGCAAGCAGGCAGTCATGAGTTCAATCCCTGTTACCAATAAAACAAAAAAGTCCAAAAGGAAGACTTTTAAAAGTGGAATGTAGTGGAGCTAAATGCAAAAGCTCTGTATTTTATTTTTCAATACATTATTGTCTGGCTTCACTCTCAGCATGACTTTGTCATCTAAAAGAAGTTGGTGTTGGCTCTTTCCCTTCAATTTCTAGGAGGAATCCAAAAGTGATTGCTATTTATTCTTTATTATATGCTTGAAATATTCACTGAGTGATTTATCTTATCATGGGTTTTGTTGTTGTTATTAATAAGTTTTGATTGTAGACACATTGCCTATATTCATTTGTGCTCTATTCATCAGTGTGTTTGTTCCTGATGGATGTGGGTCAGTGACACCAAAGGAAACCACATTCCTATTAAGGGTCATGTCTCATTTTACTTAGGGATTAAGCCATTTACTTTTGTATCTTCCAACTAATCCTATAGTATATATTTTTGGAAGTAACTTCTTTCAGTTACTTAGACTTTTAATGTAAAATGTTCTTGTTGGGTGCTTACTGCTGAAGGAAACTGGAGCTGATCAGGTGCCTGTCTCTTATTTCAGGGCTCACAAAATGACCTGTCTGCAGTGTTCCCACCTCCTAACCTGCCCCGTGTAAACACCTGTCCTGCTCCACAGCTGTGGTGCATCCACATGGGGAAGTTGAGATCTGCACCTGGATGGAAGACATTCAGTCAGTATTGGCTGTGTAACAGACTGACCTTTTCAAAGGTCAGTCAACATCTATACATTTAACCTGAAAATGTACTGCTAAGTCTTCATTATAAAAAGTGAGATTGAAAGACACCCATATTCTTTTTTACTCAGTTAAGGTGTGAAAAATTAGAAACCATGAACATAGCACACAGCAAAACTGCTGAGTGAATTATAAATTTACAGGCACAGAAAATGCTGAAAGAAGGCCATGTTCTAGGCCATGTCCCCAGTCTTACTTGAGATGAGAGAAAGCTTATGGCTTGGCCCTCTCTCCATCCAGCAGTGAAGAGACACAGGCCCTCACAGCAGGCAATGACAGGAGACAGGAGCTGATGGATGGCAGACCACTCATGCTAATGGCCCTGATAGGTACATTGTGATCCCGTCTCACACTGCTGAGCCCTGGCTCTCTTCCTACCCAAACTTGTACTCTGTGCTGCCTCCCTGCCACACACAAACCTTGGGAAGAGGTGGCGTCTCTCTTTGGTTTAAGTAAGTTGTCTCAGGTGACATTTTTTTCAACTAAGGGAAAATGCCATTTCCACCTTTAAATGGACCTTGCTCTGCTTCTCGCAACCTACTTCTGTCCTCTGAGCCTGCGAATGACAAGCCCATGGAGGACTCTGGTACTGGAGAACTATTTGTATGCCATTAATATATGCTCTCTTATTACAAATGACAGATTTAGAAAAAGAAAAGAAGAAAATCTTGGTATATTTATCTATGTCACCAGGTTTGTGTTAGTTCCCTGTGCCACTTCACCACCCAACAATGACATTGTATGATAAAGGAATTTGAGAGTAAAACCAAGAAGAGCATTCACATTTCCAGTCCTTTGCAGCTCCATTCATTAAGTGATGGGCAAGTCTCCCAGGCTCTGCCTCACTCTGCCTCTGTCCCTCTGGTTGTCTCACGCACATCTATGTGTGTATGCACATTGATGGCAGAGATATTTCATTGTAAAAACTGAGATCTTGCACACACAAATGCATCTTGCATCAATGGTAATTTCATGATCAAATTCCTTGGCCTCTTTCTCTGTGGGCCCAGAGATACTGAGCTCAGCTTTCCTGAAGCTTTCCCTGCTTTCTGTGGCCTACACTGGTGCCCTGCACACTCTACCTGCAGGATAGGGAGGGTCCTAGTTCCTTCATTTTCTAAAAGTGCTATGAACAACTTGAAAAGAAAGTTAAAATGTTATGCAGATTTTTCTTTATTTTTTTTTGTGTTGTTGTGGAGCTCTCTGTGTGGGAGAAACCTCTATAATTAGCTCAGAGAGGTCCAGGGACCCTGTGTAGAGCTCGGATGGGAGCTGAGGGAAATGGTTCTGCTTCCTCCACCCCATTTTCTCCCCACTGCTGTTCCCCACTTACCTTAAAACCTGAAGTCAAATGGGGACACAGCACAACTCAGTGACATGGCCCAGAATGTATCTTCAGTGGGATACTGTGCATTTTGTACATTTGTTGGCCATATGAGGAGATTCCCTTTTGCACTGCAATTATTTGTCTCTTACCTCACAAAACAAATGGAAAAGCAATTCCAACCTCAAAGATGAATGTATTTAGGTTTTATTTATAAACTGGGATCTATTTGGGACTGTCCCCTTTATCAAAGAAAAATAGTTAGTCTCTTCCATTAATGCTTGGCCAAATAGAGCTGTGATGCACTGATGTGAAAACCTAGAGTACTAAATCACAGAGGCAGAAAGATCAGTGGTGGCTGGGGCTGGCAGGGAAGAGAGGGAAATGTGTCCAAATATGAATGAAGTTGTGGGAAATGTTCTGGAACTGGGCAAAACTGAAGATTGTTCATATTGAGAATGTGTGCATGCCACTGCACTGTGTATGCTAATTAAAGTGAATGACATCCTATCATCTGTTTAAAATTAATTTATGCCATAATATTTAAAAGGAGTATAGAGGTAAGGGCAAGAAAATGGAAAAAATAGTGGAGGAGATGGGAAACTCAGGTTTTCAGCAGGAGCTGGCCTCAGGGGAGTTGAGGACCTGCCACCTGCTGTGGAGACCCTGTTAGTCATACCTCTGAGCTGACAGATGGGCTTCCTGGTGCTGGCTCTTCCCGTGGACCCAGAGCTGGTGAAGGCACTGGAGATGGATCAGGTGCAGACTCTGCAGCTGGTCCATGAGCTTGGTGTGCAGCTGACCCTTCAACAGCAAAAGGGAAAAAGATCACCAATTTCCCATGTTCCTTGCAGTGCAAACAAATTTCCCAGTGCCTGTCAGAGACAGCTCTGTGCACAAATCCACTATCCGGAAGTTTCTCACACTGCGTCCACCCACTGATTCCTGTGTGTTTCAGAGCTACAGGGTGGTACCTTAGCCTTGTCCTCCTCACATACCCACAGACCTTACCAGTCCTCATCACCCTTTTTTCTGCCTCAGTTTGTTCACAATGCTCAAGCTCAGCAAGGTGAAGCTGCATTGGAGGGTTCATGTGGGTTTGCAGCTGCTGCTTAGAGCTAAGAAGCAAGGCTGTGGTTCTGGAGGAGACAGGTGTGGGGAGCTGAGTGTGAGGTCTAGTCCTCAATCCCAAACTGCTTGCCCAAGGCAACCTGCTGAGTTAGACACCTGCCTGCTGCTCCAGCTGTGGAGAGCCCAGTTCCACTCTATCTCCACCACCAGTGAATTAGTCTTGGTCCAGACAGCCCTGGGAGAATGATAGATGACTCCATGGGAGAGTCTGTGTACACTGGTGTGACCATCTCTCTCTTCTTCAGGGAAGCTGTACACACATCTTTGTAGTGCTCTCCAGTGGTATATTGCTTTCATGGGGGATGGAAAACTGTCTGCTGTGGTAAAGGGGTTGTCTTCCATAAGTACGTTAGAAGTGAGAGGAAAGAGAGATGTGTCCTGTCCCACCTCTCCTCAGTCATTAGATTTTTCAGTGACTTTCCACCCAGTACTCTGTGCTTTCTCTGGACTCCTCTTTCACTGTTGTGCATCCATGTCTAGGGAATCGAAGAGGGCATCTCATGTACTATAATGTCAGTGATACATGATCTGCCATCCAGGATAGCCCTCACTAATGTGGAAGGTCAAGAGGTGGGTACATATATCTTTCCTGGTCATTGGATCATGGTCAGTGCCTGGAAAGTGTCTGTGCATGGTGTGGCTCTATGTATATTCATGTACACATGGTACCAACTAGTTCCTGCCCTGATGTCTGAATGGGCCTGATGCCTCTGCCAGTCCCCAGAGAATATGGCTCTGAATAATACATCTGAAAGCCCATAGAGCAACTCTCCAATCTCCTCTACAAGGAAGAGAGAATGTTTACTCAAGGTAGGGATCAGTGAGGGAAAAACAAACCTTTCCCATGGAGAGGGCAGCTCAATGGAGAATAAACACAGCTACTCCAGCAGGCCTTCCATAGAGCCTTGGTTGGCATCAGCAATTGCCTGGAAACCCCATTTTGTACAATAGGGACCTATAAGCTTGTCCATAGGTACAATTCACTGTTCTGAGAATTGCCCTAATCCTGGGTATAATTCTCAGTTCTCAGTGAAGTGAGGCTGAGAGATTTAAGCACATTTCAAAGACTCAGCTTTAGGTGGCTGAGTCACACTGTGCAGCTGAGAGCAAACTCACTATCCCAGCATTGGGGCCTGTGCGGTGGAAATGTTGGCCCTTGAGGGACCTGGGAAGGAAGAGCTGTGGACAGGGCAGCTGTGCAGAAAGTCCTGTTCCAGGGGCTCTATCAGGCTGTGCAGCCCTTCTGCCTGTGCCACCCTCACTGTGCAGACCACTGCCAAACTCTACACTGAGTGATTTGCAGTCTGTGATGAGACAGTAGGAAGCCTAGAGTTAGTGGCCCAGCCATGCCCCACCGTGAGTGCTGGAAGCTGCAGTGATACTCAAAGGTTAAATTTCATAAGGAGCATTTAGAAGTGATAGCATTTTCAGATCAGTTTGTTAGCAAATAAGTCATAAACTCCCTACATGAAAAGTATCATCCCATGTGTCCTGTGACAACAACACATTCTAGAGATGAGAAAGCAGGCTTGTCCTGAGTATGGGAATGGGGACCTGTATGTGATGACTCACAGGGTACTTCCCTGTGGTGCTGCTGCAAAAATTTGGTCCAGTTTTCTTAGCCATGAAACGCTGAGTGGCTGTATTCACTGTTTCCTGGTACAATGTCATTTAGCCTAGTGGGCCACTAACCTCTAACCTGAGGGGCTGTATATTTACCCTGAGACATGGACAAAGTAGCAAGGGCCTAGGTTTTGGATGAGTGCACCTCTTCTGATGTGATGATGTGTCAGAGCGGGGAATATGGTAGAAACACAGTCATGTGACTGCCAAAGGGATAGCTGGGCCCAGGAGTTACAGTGAACTAAAATAGTGGAAGTAAATCATGACAGGAAGTGAAGTGAGTTAGTGTCCATGGCTCTATTTTGATGCTCGCACTACTGTGTGGAGAGTGACCTGGCACATGGCCGAATTAGTGGCTGAGCAGAGAGGATGTGATAGTTGAAGACATAGACCCCAGGTTCCTTTGGAGGCAGTACCACAGGCCTGCTATTTACTATACACTGGAGGGAGGTTCTGAAGGTGTAATCTGATCCTGAAGATCCCCTGTCCTCCTGTGGCTTCATTACAGAGTCCTCTCAGCTCACACTCTCCCCCTGCTGGCATCTGTTATTGGGAGGCCCCACAGTGGTACATCTATGTGCATTGCACCCCTGCAGGGACCTGCTCCAGGCTGATGTTTGGGGCAGAACAGTTGGTGCAGTGCCTAGTGGTGTGGGAGAAGCTTCTGAGATTTCAGACCAGCAGAGAATAGGGCCATCAGGACTCCCACAAAGCCTCCCAGAGATGTGAATACAGCACAGAGACCTGGCAGCTTCTGGAAGCACAGGCTGCACATAGAGCTGCAGGTTCAGCCCTGCACAGTGAGCTTGGAGGGGCCATACCCTGTCTCATAACCCTGCTCCCCCATGGTACGGATGGTAGGCACACCCAGGCCCACAGAGCAGATAGTCACTAAGAGGTGTTTGCTAGCATTTATGATCCAAGAAGCCCTCAAAGCCACGAGCCAGCCAGGCAGCAGACCGGGAGGTCTCACTTTGTCTCCTTTGGGATTGCCTAAGTGGGAAAGTATTCACTTTTCTAGTGACAGCACAAAAGCCACCAGGCATATGATGAACCAGGTCCTTTATTGCAGTTCCCCATGGCAGCCTTTCAGATAGCACCTGGGGCTTGCTGGCCTGGTGGGAAAGCCAGGCTGGGTCCTTCTGGAAGTGGATCTCCTCCACCTTCCCCTCCCCATCTAGAATTTATTCTTACATTGTGGTTCCCAAAACCCTGGACCAGCTCAGGCTCACTTATCAGCCCCCATGTCACCTTCCTCAGAGCCCTAGTGAGATTCCCTCTACCTGGGATGCCTGGCCTCTGCTCTGCATCTAAAGCCTGAAACACCACCATCTCTATTCCTGTTTCTTGCTGGTGACTCATGGCCACCTGAGTGGGCTCTTGGGCAGCAGACCTTCTTATGTACACAGGATGGTTCTTGAGATATTAAGCAGTGAGCACCAAGATTCTGGATTGAAGTCCCTGCTTTAGAGCCAGGTCAAAAGGCTATACCATCTCTTACTGGCAGTATATATATTGCACATGTTACATTTTGTGTCTGGATGTACCCCCAAAGCCTCATGTAGTCACAGGAGCATGTTTTTTCCAGAATTCGCTGAAACTAAGTTTGTGATGGATTCATGGTCTAATGCTGAGATTAAGGGTGTTTGTGGAACACCTGCCCTAGGGTTGGTACCTGCTTACATTGTAAGGGATGAAAGGAGACTTCCTCTCCCCTCCTCACCTGTTGTATTTACCATTTTCCATGGTCTGTTGCCCTCTGCCATGTCACACCCTGCCTTGAAGCCAGCAGGTAATGACCTGAAACATCTCCAAACTGTGAACTAAATAAACCCTCCCCTTTTAAAATCTGGGTGTCTGTTATTTTGTCTCACCAGCAAGAGAAAAGTAACTAAGACAGCACACAAGAGACCCAACCTGCTATATGTCCCCATGCTCTCAGCCTCAGGAATTCTTGCTCACATTGCTGAATTCAGCTGAGTGTAACCGATTTCCCATGTAGACCATGCATCTGATTCCCAGAGGAGCAGTGCTGGCCCTGTGTAAATAGAGACCTGCAATAGACCTTGTGTCTCACAGGCCACCTTTCAAGCCTTGTACTGTGTGATACCAGGCCTTTGACTTGTGAGATCGTGGGGAACCTTGACTGACCAAACACCACACTGAAAAGATCCAGGCTCAGGGATGCTCAGCCCCAAACAGTAAGCTTCTGTCAAAGTCAGGCTCCTGATGTGCTTGGAGTTTATTATTAGTAGGAAAAGTCCATTCAGAGAGTGGACTTCATGCTCCATGGGAGCTGTGCAGAGCAACAAAGAACACCATGATGGCGGTCTGCAGCCAGTAGCTGGGCAGTGGCTTCTTTCCCACAAGGCTCTCTCTACACAGGAAGGAAGCCCCCCTCATCCTGTGTGCACAGAATAGAGTGTTGGGGTCAGTGACCCAGACACTGTGTGTGGTCCTCTCAACCCATGCTCTCTATAGCTGCTCAAACCTGTGACCTAGCACTTGGTCATGGCCAAGGCCATGACTGTCTGTGTTGAAGCTGCCTCACAGTCTCAGAATTACAGAGCAGTAGGTAATAAACGTTCCAACAGGGGAGGGGTGGACCTGGGCCCCAAAAGGCAGAGGCATCTATGGAAGCTGGGCTCATTGGGAACCATACCCTAGGGTACCATATTCTGTCACCTGGAGCATAAACCCCATGTCAGGCAGGGTATGGTGTGTCCCAGGCACAAGATACTGTGGATTTTAGTATG